GCCCCGAGCTCCCCACCGCCCCACCCCGAGTGCCTCCACCACCAGCCCAGCAAGGGATGGGACTTGGAGGACTGGCACGGGACTGGGCTGCCATACCTCTCCCTGCGTCCCCGGTCAGCGCAGCAGGAGAGAGCCAAAGAGCGGAGTTAGTGGGGCCGGGGCGCGCGCATCCCCCATGATCCCCACCACATGGGTCACCCCACACCCGCACGGGGCCATGCCTGACCCATGAGACCCCCCCACCCGGGCACCACTGTGGGGGCCCAGCCTCGGGACCCCGCATGGCCCCGCACCATGGGTACACGGGACCCCACGGCCCCACGCCCTGCGTGCACCCCGAACCCTGCACCCTCCTGCACCCACATGCATGGGCCCCACACCTTGTGTGCAGCCAGATCCTGCCCAGCCCCACAACCCACAAGCACGGGACCCCCGCAGCCCCATGCCCCGCCTGCGCCCCGATCCCTGCACACCCCTGCACCCCACGTGCATGGGACCCCTCAGCCCTGCGCCCTGCAGGCACCCGGATCCCCGCGCATCCCGGCAGGCACCAGACAGCCCCATCGCCAGGACCCGCAGGTGCAGGGACTCACCCCGCGCCCACCCCCTGCACGCACAGACCCTGCGTAGCGCCCGCGCCCGCCTGCGCGGTGCTCCCCGCGTGGCCCCATCCTGCACCCGTGGGACCTCACGCAGCCCCCATGGGGTCCCATACAGCCCCCCGCCCAGCGGATCCCCCCTCACCCCCAACCCGCATGCCCGGGCACCCAGCACGTCCCCTTTTTGCGTGTGGCTCTCCAGCAGCAACAGCATCGCCCGGCCCTGGGGGGGGACCGAGTCAGGGGGGGCTCAGGGGCCACGCTGGGAGCCGGCGTGCGGGGCAGGGGCGCGGGGGCACTCACCTCGCCCCAGGTGCCGGGGGGGCCGCGCTGGTGCAGGGAGAGCTGGCGGATGCAGTTGTTGACGGCGATGCTGCTCCTGCCCGGCGCCAGCTCATCCTCGCTCATCTCCACCCAGCCCAGCGAGCGCACGGCGAAGCGCTGCAGGGCACGGCATGGGGCAGGCATGGCGTGGGGCAGGCACGGCCCCGCTGCGGGGACCCCGGCCAGCCGCCCGCTCCTGCGTGCCCCAGTCCAGGACAGACCCCGCGGCGGGGGCACCGCGCGCCCCGGACCCGGCTGAGCCCCCCCCCACGGCGGGGGCAGGGCTGGGGGCC